CTCCCTGGTCTGTCCAGTCTGGGTCGTGACGCTGGTAGGGGGGGAGCGGAGGTTTTCCCGCTGTCCCCTGTAAAGCCTTGGAGCTTTAAGTGAGGGAAGGCAAGCAGCACAAAGCGCCGCAGTAAAGTAAATGCCACGTCGACGAACGCCCTGGGTTTCCATCAACCAGGCAACCCCTTCTCCTGTGGAGGAAGGGTGGTCTTCAGCTCTCCGAGGAGGCTCTGGTGGGCTGTACCTGGGCCATCGCCCCGCAGACACACGGGGGACTGGGCGCTTGGTGCCAGAGACACCGGAGGAGACATTTCCCAGTTCTTACTCGGCGGTATCGTAGCTGCCTTCTGTAGGGTTTTCTGGGCCCTTTCGTGGGCAGAAGATGTTCTGCTCAGTCATCCTTCTTCCAGTTTCTTGTTACATTCTGGCCATTACCTGTCCTGGTTTTGGCTGGGATAGAGTTAATTTTCTTCCTAGTAGCTGGTACAGTGTTATGTCTTGGATTCAGTATGAGAAGAATGTCAATAACGTACTGATGTTTTCATCAGCGTTCCAGTGTTTAGAACAAGTCAAGGATTTTTCAGCGTCTGATGCCCAGCCAGCAAGGTGGCTGGAGGGGCACGAGAATTTGGGAGGGGACACAGCCAGGGTAGCTGACCCAAAGTGGCCAAAAGGGTATTCCATACCATGTAATGTCATGCCCAGTATATAAACTGGGGGGAGTTGGCCTGGGGCTTCCTTGTCATAGTTCTTCACCCTTTCTAGTGCCTGGATGGCTGACTCCCAAACGAGCTAGCTTCTAGAGCAATGCCTCTGCACAAGGCCCAGAGAAGTGCCCGGAGTCCAGAGCCTGGGCAGAGACCACCCAGGGAAGGGTTAACTTCTTTGCTGACCAGTGCCAAATTAATTTTGGAGTCCTGAAGCTCGCCTCCTGGTACCAGCCCCAGCTCCTGATGACCAGCCTGGCAATGGTGCCAGTGGTTCAACATCCCTGGCTGAGGGGATCAGAAAATAAAGGAAGGCAGAGTGAAGAAAAGCAGACCTATGCGTTGCTTTCCTAGGACAAGGTCAGTGGCTAAAGAGAGGAACGAAGACCCAACAGAAAGTGGGACATAGACAGGAGTTCAGAAATAACTGTGATGTTGGAAGTCGCAGTCACCTAAGCAAACTAGCAGGACTCCCTCAGCTTCCTCTGTTGTCCCCGAAGGTAGGTTCTCCCAAAGAACAATTCAGAGCACTACATTTTGGTTCTGCTTGGGTTTGCTCTCTGGAAGACCTGCTTTTCTTCCATCAGTTGTAGAGGGACCGGTGGAGAGTTCCTTGGCTAAAATAGAAGTCCAAGTTGGTTGAGTGTGAATACCTATGCCCAGGATTTCTGCGAATTACGGGCAGGCATGACTGCCCAGTGCCCTGAACCTTGCCCAAAGCAAGTCACAGAGGTGACAGGCGGTCACGAAAGGACTGTGGGTGGTAAGCATACTCTTCTACTGAGCAGCAGAGAGTATTTGAACCTGCCTCTTACAGTAGTGACGTGCTACTGTGCATTTTTGACCTGTATAATCACGGAACACCTAATAGCTCCACAAATAGTCTCCAGGACTAAACGCTTATGGGAGTTTTGCTGCTTGCTGCCATAAGACAAATGCTGTGACCTCTATATCAGCAATATGTGCTACGGGTTGTATCAATTTGTACATGAAATGGGGGATCGCTGCTTCTTAACCCATGCAGGAAAGTTAGTTCCTCCCTGCAATAATCTCATTCCACATATGATTATACAACCCCTTCAACAGGCAGACCCTGCAACTTCAGCACTGGAAAGCAATGCATATGTTTCTCTCTATAGTGAAGATGGTCCTGAGATGCATGCAGGTATGGAATGTCTGTCCCATGCTATTAAAATGTTTGAAAGAAATTAAGTCTCTGAGAAAAGAGATTTGAACCATAGTGTTTCCTTATTTATGATGAGTGAAAACTGAGCATTTAATGTAACCATATTTAGAGTACTACTGTGTGTCGCAAGAAAACCTTTGTAATATGAGCAAATAGTGGGAAAACTCCTGAAACAGACCTTAAAACTTATTCAGTTTTGTAGGCTGAAAAGTAATGTTAAAGTATCCTGGTATTTCCAGAATTGCTTTTTTGGCTTCCTCAAATGCTAGTTGAACAATCAGATTTGCTCCCCTTGCATAAACAATAATCTCTGTAATCTAATCACAAAACAAATAAAATCAATCATATGCTCTTATTTCAATTATTCACTTGGATTTCTACCATCACGGTACTTAAAAATCATCATCTCAATTAGATTCTTTTTGCCTTAGGTGCTGTGTTTTGCTAGGAGTCCACCCTTCCTTTAGAGAGGTGAACAGGAGAGGCAGGGAGGGCAGGGACAGAAGGCAGGAGTGACTTTGCCCACAGGATGGAGTGGCAGAACTGCGAGTGGAAAACTGTCATAAATCCATCCTGCCCACTGGGCAGCATTGTCCTTTATGGGAGCTCGAAAGTGAGCTGCTGAGCTGGCAGGGGGAAGTTCACAGCCTAAACTTTAGTCTGGGGTCTCCAGGAACCTTTGGGTACCTCTGGTGAGAAATTGCTATATTCTTTCTTGGGAAAAAGCTTCCGTGTTGGTAGCAGCTTGATTTAAAACGTTTTATTTAAGCTTTATATTACAAACTGTTTCTCTTGTTCCTGAATGAATCAAGGATGGCAGGATTTCAGGATGAGTGCTTTGTTTGATATTAGAGAAGTCGTTTCTTCACAAATTATTCATTTGTTTTTGAAGGATCTGTGCTATCTTTCCGTGAAAGAATTTCATTTGCATTTGCAAAACGGAGCGATAGGTGCTATATTGCGATCCTTGTGCGAACTTGACGAAAAAGGTTTTTGACACGTTTTTCTTCAGCGTTACTTTTTCTACAGTGACACAGTTCTCCCACAGTGCTTTGGGTTTGCTACTTCTTTCCCTAAAAATCATTTATCTCCAGTGGAACAGCTAATGGGGGAAAACAGAATTAACTTTTAAAGGATTCGGGGGCTGTTGTCAACGTAGGGAAGAGAATGGCCACGAGGTGGTAGCAGTCTGTAGGGGAGGACCAGGAGATGGCTCTGAGCTTTGCTTCTTGAGCCAGGGAGGCCAATACCGCCTGTGTGCCTTAGGCCATACAGTGAAGCATTTGCAGTATTCAAGCAGAGTTATTTTAGATTTATTTTCCTGAGTTATTTCACTTGGAGGTAATCTCGTGTGAGGTAGAGCAATGGGGGATAACACCATAGCGTCTCTCTTGTTGGCCCCGTAGGCTGGCAGCGTGTGACTTGGCCAAGGATGCCCAAGTGCAAATCCATTTTCAAATTGCCAGTGTAAGCTAGCATCTGGGCTTGTGTGCTGCCGTGAGGCCTTGGCTGGCTCATGCAGTCTGTCTGCTTTTTGGGCTCTCCTAATGGCATCCAGAATGGCACAGCCCCAGGTTGCAGAGTGCTGACCTCCTACGTACTCCTGCCAGCTCGGATGGGTTTGGAGTGATGTAGCGGGTTAACTTCATACTGCCTGGCTTTGTGAGAGATCAGGCGTCATCCACCCTTCCCAGGCTGCTGTAAAGTTCATGTTAATAGAAAAAGAGAGTGAAAACTCCATCATGTGCTCTCTCTGATTTGACAGAAATGCAGTCATATGCCCACACGTGATCAAGATTAAATTTGTGCTGCTGAGCAATCTGGCAGCGTGCAAAGCCCTATTAATGCGCATGAAGCCACAGTTCTGGGCAAAGAAATATGCTCTTAAGTCTGCTGCTCCTGCTATGAGAGAAAGGGGAGCCTCTGACAGACCTCTGGGGCAGACAGGGGTCATATTGGTCTGGGTTACAATTACCAGAAAAGATATAGGAGGTTGTTCTGTAAACTGTTTCACTGTGAATTCTGGGAGAATTTGATGCATGGGAATTATGGAAAGGTGTGTGAG